CCCCGGGTGGGTACAACCAGGGCCGGTGAGAGGATGGGGCAGGGAGGGCAGAGCCCCGGGGCCCGTACGACCGAGAGGGCCCGTCGTATGTTTACAATGTTTTTGTTGGTGCGTCTTGGTCAAACAATAGCAAAGGGAAGGGGGCCCGGAACCCCCGTAGCCCCAGGACCCTCAGAAATTCCCGCCGGCCCTGGGTACAACTGCGCCGCGTCGGGAGAAGAACGTAAACGGGTGTGTGTGTACTCGAGTGTCGATAGCGTCCGCGACGGCGGCGTTCATCCGCGACTAACCTGTCGCCGGTGCGAACCGCTAAGGTCACGTTTACGGCCGCGGTCGCGTTCACGATTTCCATGGAACAGGGCCGCATGCGGACTCGGCGCGCCATTTTTTCCGGCCGCGAACAAAGCGCGTTCGCGTTTCCGACGTAGCAGGGCGACATGCGGTGGGCCGCGTGGGACCAGCGGCCGCGACCTGTCCGCCCGGTGGCGCGTGCGCCGCGCCGGTTGTGACACCGGCCGCGGTGCGCGTACCAGGACGCCATGAGCGCGGCGCGTCGCGACCGTCCGGGTGAAGCGCCCGCGCGTGGGTGGACGTCCGAGAACAATAAGACGGCGGCCCGGATTGCGTCCCGGCGTACCAGGAGCCCATGCGTCGTCGTGCGCGCGCGTATCCACCGTCCGGCCGGTGGGAAGTCGATGCCATTCGCCGGCCGACGACCCGACACCGGTGTCCGACGACACCGCGCGCGTGACATCAGTGTTCCGTGCCGCGACGTCTCGCGATTTTGAGGCGAGTACACGCGAACGCGATTGATTGCCGCCGTGATTTGAATTTTGGAATATTCACATTTTTATACAACACAGGACACATCGGTTTACCGTCGAACAAACGGAAACGAAAACAAAATAAAACCTAATACACACAACAGAACAATGACGTACGCAGAATTTCACAATGGAGGGGAGGGTTTGAAAATAAACAATTACTCTGTTGTAACAGGCGCATTGGCTTAAAAAATAAAATAGCTGCTTTTTCATTTAATATTTAAATCAAGCATTAAATAAACAAAAAATATATGAAAAAAAAAAAATAAACAACAAAAATAATTGGCAATAAAATACATTTTTATTCAGTCCAGTTTTAATTGTAGTCGCTCAAGTGATGTTTTGGAAAACTGTTGTAGAACTTCCAATTGGGTCAGATTTTCTTTTTTACTGATATTTGCTTAAGCTAACCATTAAGACGTTTCTCCGTCATGGTTGATCTTTGGTATGTTGGCTAGATCAACGATTTTTGGATTGTTGCTAACATCAGATCAATTGTAATTATAGATTATAGATTAATATCTTAGTCCGTGGCTCTAATAAATTGGTAAACACACGCTTTGAGATACTGTATTCAATTGTTGGTAAATTTAAATATAAAAATAATAATACGGGCAATGGGGAGGGAGCTTCAGCCCGTTATTGCTCCCCTACGTACGCCACTGCATATGAACATGAAATATACATTACTAATTGTTCGCGGTAATTCGAACAGCCGTGATAAAAATTTAAAAATTAAAATTTTTTTCAATTTATAGAAGAGAGTGGGCTCAAGATTATTGAAAGTCTACAAAGGGGCGTAGAACAGGTAAGGTTGGGAACTATTAGTGTATTTAGATCTTACATCGTGTTAGTGAATACTGAGAATAGCAATAAGGTAAAAGTAATCACTTATTAGTAATTGGTTAATACGTACGGTTAAGGGGGCAGCAGACGATGCAAAAAATCACGTAAAACAGGTCATAAGCTAGACAAAACTGTGGGACTTGGGTTTGACGGATTTTTATTTTAAAAACAAATTAAAAATCTTGAACATCTTTACTAAAACTTGATCGAAGGAATTTTTATTATTACAAAAATTAACAGCGTACTTAAATACATAAAATACATAAATTTCTGTTTTTTTAAATTGTCAATATCTTATTATTTGATTACAATATAGAAAATGCCTTTGATCAATCCCTAGCTAACATAGTGACGTAATTAAATCTGTTTCCAAAATTTAAATTCATCAATCCCAAGTCTCTCAGTTTTGTCTAGATTTTTGGCGTTTTTGACATTTTATTAGCGTGGTGTAAATTTTCTTCGTGTTCATTAATCTGTTCATGCGCGTATGGGCGTTAGAACATTTCTAAGAATTTTAGTACCAAGCCATAATATAAATATTAAATACTACCCGCATTTCGAACGATTATCAGTCTATTAGAACTAATGACTACGGAAATGGAATAATAATGTATTGTAACAATTACAATCATTGCAAAGTATAAAATAGTCCGCGCATTTTCTTAGTGATAGTAGTTGTCATTTCACATTGATTTTCTAAGCAATACGTGCGGTTGTGTCTTTTGAATAAGTGGTTTTGAAATAAATTTGTTAAAAATAATTTTTGTATTGCTATGCGTTTGGACAATATGGATAGTAAAAAAGATGGGCGTTATGGAAAAAAAACCAAACCCTTATTATCTAAAAGGAAAATTAAAAAAGGAAATATTGATGCACTTAAATAATTACGCGAACACGTTAAATACGGCCGCGGATATGGATATGGATGGAAATATAGTTGTTCCTTTTTTTTTAATAGTAGTTTTTGTGGCTGCTTTGATTGCAATTTTAACATAAAATAAAAAGAAATAAAATAGTTTATTTATAATATCATAGATTATTTATGTTTAAAAAATTTAGGTAGTGAAAAATAAAAATAGGTTTATGTAATGTTATCCGCCTAAATTAGCAAAATTAATTAAGATTATTTTAAACCAATTAAATCATAATTAATAATTAATTTTTTTATCATAGAAAATTAACCATTTTACAAATGTAAGTTCTCAATAATGGAACTGTTTAAAATTATGTTTTTTTCTAGTTTTATCTGTTATCTAGATAAATTTAGTTATCTTGTATCTATTATCTAGATAAATTTTTAAATAGTTATCTATAATCTTATCTAGTTGAAATTTTAATGTATTATCCGATGGCTGCATCCGAATTGGATCCCTAATTTAAAATTACTACACTAGTTGATTCTTGAATTATTTTAGGTATACATTAGTTTCTGAATATTTTTTAGTAAGTACTATATGATATTAACATTTTCCTTTCCATTTTAACAGACTTAGAATTATTATTTAATTTCTTTTATAACAGTGGTTATGTTTAATATTTTTTTCATTTACCTATATGGGTATAATTATATTATATAATATGTATTTTTACACTTGATTTTTAACATTTTTAATATTTTTACCACCACAATTCTAATAATTTATATTTTAACAGAAAAGAAGCTAAAAACAAAAAAAAAAAAACTATAAAAAATAATTTTAACCATACCTTTTGTCTAAATAGATCATAGGCAGTCCTAAGTCTGTTAAAATCGGAAGGAAAATATTAGTATAATGTAATACCAAAAAATATTCAGGAACTAGAGTAATACCTAAAATAATTCAGGACCCAACTAGTGTAGTACCTATAAACATCCAGGACCCAACTAGTACACTAACGACGATTAGCCCCTAGTACTTGGGACTCAACTCCGTATCCGTTATCTTATCTAGATAATATTTTGGTTATCTATGTACAACACTGGTCATTAGTCTAGTTAAACAAAATCATTAAATTCTAGATAATTTTTAATACTTTGTAATGATATCATTATATAAAATTATTCTTTCATACTGAAGTTAAATGATTATTTCGTGGTAAAATGGCATTCAGAAGTTTTGAACATTAAGATGAAATACGTATTTTTCTTTTCGAACATAAAAATACACTTGTAGAACATTTTTTAAATGAAGAATGGTTAGGAATTTAAAATTTTTTAGCTGATATTTGAGAAAAGTTTAACTGTTTAGATGTTTAATGTTTAACTAACTTAAATATTCATTGTAAAAAAACAATTATTTTAATGCTCTCAAAAAGAAAATTCGTTATATCGGATACATTATATCAATAATTTTATATAATCAAATAATTGTTTTACTTTATGTATCTATCATATCTATTGATAACTAAAACATTTGAGTGATTATTGAAACGATAACAAAACACACGTGAAAACTTAAAGATTATAACTAATAATTAGGGCTCGGATTTTGTAGCAAAATAAATCCTTAAAAAAGCATTTTAAGTAGCTAAAAAAAGCCAAAAAAAGCATTTATTAATTTAATTCTAAAAAAGCAAATTTCAATTACACATAAAATTAAATACTAAAAAAGGAATTTACTACCATATATTTAGTCAAGTTACTTTCATTGAAACTCATTCTATTGGGTGCTAAATTTTTATACATAGAAAAAGACCTTTCCACGTCAACCGATGTAATCGGTGCATATTTCATATAAACTAAATCATTTGAATCATACTGTTCCACATTTACGTTTAGTGCAGTGCCATTATGAATACTATTGACTTTTTGAAGTTCTGCCCATCCATTATTTTTTGAAAAAACACGATTGCACGTTTCTAAAATCAGTTTCGCTACTTCGCCATTAGCTTCCTCTAACTTTTGTTTTGCTTCTAACACAATGCCTATACTTTTTGCCAAAGATTCGCCTAAAAAATAATAATATATAAATACAGCAAATACTTGAAACAAAAATAAAAAATAAAAAATACCTCTTTTTTCTAATTGTGTAATTGCATGTGGTAAAAATCTAAAATTTGTTGTAATGTAAACGAGATTTGAATGTAGAGATTGATCTTTTATAAGCTCTTTTACAACATTCACACACTGGGCATTCTCGTTGAATTCTTCAACTACACTTTTTATTTCATTTAAATATGTGCAATAATATTCGGCTGCTGTAATCCATGTACCCCAACGAGTAGTGATTCGTTTAGGTGGATTTGGAATATCCGGACATTTTTCATTTAAAATAGCGATCCGTTTTGGACATTTCAGAAATGTTTTTTTCATCTCGGTAATTAGACGATCAACTTTTGGGAAATGTGCACGCACTTCTTCACACACATTATGGAGGACATGAGCTAAGCATGTCACATGCAAAGCTTTTGGATACAGTGTTTGAATACAGCGGCCAGCTTTTTTCATATACGGCGTGGCATCCGAAACAAATAATAAAATGTCCTCATGATTATTTGGCCATAAAATATGCATAGATTTGTCAAATAATTGAAAAATAGTACTATGGTTCACTTTGTCTAAATATTCTGTGTGAATAAGATAAGTTTTACCAACATCTTGTGGTTTCAAAATACCAATAATGACATTAGCTACATTACGTCGCACACTGTCAATTGTTTCATCTATGCAAACCCATATTTTTTGGACATTCACAGCATCGCGTATTTTAGTTATCGCATTAGTGTAGCAAGAATTAAAGTATCCTTTACGTAAAGTTGATTCATTTGGAATAGTTTTATTGCAATATTTTGAAAGAAATGAGCGAAAATGTTCGTTGTTTAATTTGTTTAGGGGGATATTTGCCGCTATAAATGCGGAACATAGGTCAGCATTAAAATCAGACTTACAAAATTGTTGAATGAATGGCTGAACTGCATTATGTTTTTCAGCTTCAAGTTTTTTCAATGCTTCTTTGTGTTTTACTCTGCCAATATGTTGTTGAACGTTATATTTTCTATCCGAATTTATTTTGACTTCACACAATTTACAAAATATAATATTTCCGTCAGTCATAAGCACATTTTCACCGAATTCTCTTACGATTTTTTTTAATTTTAAATTTTCATGTTTAACTTTTGGAATTTTGACGATTAAAGAAATTATTTAGAACACTATACGTTTATACCTCACTGATTGTCGATGTAATTTACCGGCCAACTAAAGTATTAGCACGTGCTATAAAAATACGTAGGTATAATTCAGATAATTTTCCCTTTCCTTGAGTCGTAAATGCAACTATAGATAATTGTAGATAAAACTATTTCGGCACAATAACGACAGTTATTTTATCAGTCATATATTTATTACTGGTTTTTTCACTGGTTTTATAATTTCTGGTAATACTAATATAGTCCAAGACGTATAATATACATACAAATAAGCTAAGTTTTCAAGAAAAATATATAAAAATCAAGAAAAAATAACCAAATAGGGGAAAAGCAATAAAAAGCAGATTTTATGGAAAAAAGCAAAAAAAAAGTTTACTTCATTAAAATCAGAACGATTCAAAACGTATTTATATAAAAGAATTATCTTTCTATCACACTTCCCTCAAAAGAAGCATTTGCTACAAAATCCGAGCCCTACTAATAATATAATATTATATTATTAATAAAATATATACATATAAAATAACATATAATAAATCTCGAGCTTTACAATTTTGTTGATGTATTTGGGTTGTTTAACATGTTTCTTTTGAACCTCTTCATCCGTCTTAAGTGGGATCGTCATTTTGGAACCGGACTGAACATTTTTACAAGGGACCGAGTCGAACCGAACCGTTAGTTTAATTTCTTTTTAGACCATACAAATACAACGTATGCAATATTAATATATATATATATATACTATATCCATGGTGATAAAATGAAATCGATTTGTATGTTTGACAAACATTGCAAATCAATATAGTTCTACAAAATTACGGAGTATGTTTATATTCTTCGAAATTCAATTTTAAATTTCTACATTTTATTTTAAACTTCTTTTAACTATCAACAAATAAAATGGATGCAATGACAATAGCTTCAAAAAACTATTCGAAAGTGGTCAGTCATTGCAATAAATTAAGCAAAGTAAATCAAAACTTACAAAAAGAAAATAAAGATTTGCAAGCACAGAAATATCATTTATGGAAAGCATTAGAAAAACTTAAGAAGGATACTGTGTTTCGTAAAAATAGTAAAAAAATTGATTCACCTACGTTGCTTAACCAAATAAACAACACAATATCCAATTTTGATAAATGCGGAGTAAGTATCATCATATTAAAAGTATCGAACACAACTGTTATTTATTTTATTATTTAAATAATAATTTAATTATTCATACGTAATGAATTTATAGGATTATCAGAGCTGTTGTTCTAAAAACTCAGTTAAATCTGAACAGCAAATTTTAACAATTACTGATTCAACTGATTGCGGCGATCGTGAAAAGCTATCAGAAATTTCAGTTGAAACTAATTTTAGTGATTATGATTTGTTATCAAAGCTTATAAATGACATAGATTTATTTTGTAGTACTAAAAATGCATGTGATCCTCATGTTAAATTAATTAAAAAATTACGAAATACATTGATGGATGCAATGCGATTAGATGAAGCAAATGAAATAATTTTAAATATAAAGCAAGAAGAAATAAATCGTTTTCAAGAACAAATCGAAGAAGAAAAAGATGGAAATAAATGTAATAATATCGTGATTTCTAAAATGAAGCAAGATATTAGGGAATTGGCAGTTGCACTAGAGGGTCAATTTTTGAAAAACAAAAGTTTGATAAATTGTAACAAAGAACAACGTCGAATAAACGACGAATACTTAACAAACCAACAAGTCTTGGAGTGTAAATTATCAAATACAGAAATCGATAATTGCGAAAAAACCAATATAATTCTTGATCTTCAAGAAAAATTAAATGATTATACTTATAAAATAGAAGAGCTTGATTTTCAAGTGAGTGAGAATTCTAATGAAATCGTCAAATATAAGGAAAAACATAGTGAATTAATCGAAATAATCAAACAATTAAATTATCATAAAAAAATTTTGAAAATCGATTTGAAATTTACAAATTTACAACTTTATCATTCAAAAAAATATTCTAATATAATGACGGATGAAAATAAAATCCTTATTCAAAAAATCGAATCGTTAGAAAATACTGTCGACGATTTGCTGAAGGCCCTAAAAATTTCAAAATCTGAAAATTATTCATTAGTTAAAAAATCCATTGAAGTTGGGATGGAAATATTAAGTTTCGAAAATAAAATACATTTATTAGAAAACAAAATAAAACAAGGCGATGAAAATATTAACAAATTCAATAATTTGCTCCAATGTGCTACTACGAAAGAAATTTGTACTCAAAAAGAATTAGAGAAATGTAACTCACAATTACATATGAAAATAGAAGAAAATAATGATTTACATTTACAATTACATGAAATGCAGAAGGATTTGAAGAACACACATGAAAAATGGACTTATTCCCAACAACAACTAGAGAGCACCGAGCTTGAATTGAAGCAAGAGCAAATTAAGTACAAAATAGCTAAAGAAAAATATAAACTCCAAGAGAATAAATGTGAGGAAATCCTAAGCCATATGGACAACGAACAAAAAAAGTTGAATTATTCCCAAGAAAAAGTACAGGAGACCGTCATCGAATTGAATAAAGAACAAAGTGAGAAAAAAATTGTCACAGAGGAACACAATAATGAAATAAAAAGTTGGGCGACGAAAAGCATTCAAACAGATTTGTCCAACGTTATTGAATCTATAATTGTAAATAAATCAGAAAGCCCGGAAATTGTATCTCAAATGGATATTGGGGAAAAAGAAGAAAAAATTATTGCCTCATCAGATGTAGTAAATGGACAATTGTCAAAAGACAAAGACAAGTAATTTTTTTTTTATAATTTTCAGTTCCTCGCCGTAAGCCGTGCACCTGCTCGCTCGGTCGATCTCGAATTACATCGTGTTTCTCTCCCTACGGGAAAGAAGGAAAGATCCTACTTCACTGAGTTTACACATCGTCATCAGCAGCTCTCAGAATTCGGTCACCCCGACCACAAGTAATATTATATAACTTAACTCATATATTAAAATATTTACATTAAGTTTAAACATACAATACCCACATAAGTGCTCACTCTATAACCAAACCCGGGCACTGCCCGCGTATCGACCTTTGGACCCCAACCAGATAAGCTATGTTACGTAACCAGCAAACAGTCTCCCCAATTACGATTGTAAACAATAAAATCGTAAACAAACAAAAAAAAAAACGATAAGCTAAAAACTAATGAAGGCAAACGCGCCTTATCTACATCATCCACCCCACCGCATTCACCGTCTGCCATCATTGCCAAGAAAACGAAACTATTTGTGACACCAAACCGCTATGAAGCTCTAATCGCTGACGATGATAATCCAAACCCCGATAACGAATACATAGACATTGATAGCCTGCTTGAAACTTCCAGCCAGGGGCAATCGAATACTACACATAATACACCAAAGCCTATTCACCCTCCACCCGTATTTATCAAAGGCGTCCTGGACTACATGGGATTACGAAACAGTATCCGAGACCTCATTGGCCCAACCAGCTATTCGTGTAAGTCCTATACAGCCCACCTTACAATTCAAACAGACAGCCCTGACAATTACAGGAAACTAATCCGGCTCCTTAAAGACATTAATGCCCAATATCACACATACTAACTCCACTCGGAAAAATCCTTAAGAATAGTAATCAAAAATCTTCATCCAACTACCCCAGTTGAAGACATCGCTGCTGCAATCGAAGAAATTGGCCACTCAGTCAAAAATGTAATAAACATCTAAACGCGAAAAACATACAATGGGGCTGTAGCACCAACAACCCTCGCGGTAACACCCTACATAACCTATCGCAACAAAATAATTACAAAATTCACGCTCCTCCTTCTCCAACCTATTGGTCCACATCCCAAAGAAAAAGACCAGACATTCTAGATATATTTGTCACGAAAATCCCAAACAGCCTTCACAATACATTAACCAATCTCGATGATCTACGCTCTGATCACTCGGCAGTCCTTCTCACAATAGACACTGCTGCCTCTAAAAAGCCAAACAAACCTAGTCTCACTCAAGGTCGTATGGACTGGGAAGCCTTCAGAACCCAACTCGCCAAAACCCTATATAAACGTTTCCACCTTAAATTTTCAAATCACTGAAACTCTCTCATCCAAAACCTATCTTCCCGAACAATCCCGGGCGACCCTGGCCAACGTTTAAAGCATAGCCGGTGCCGTGATCTACTAGTCGACTAGTCCACCATCCCGTTATGAAGTGCTATTAATGAATAGCTTCTTCTTCAAGCCAACAATGACCAATGCCCTATAATTGTATTACCCCTCCATTGTGCTTATTGTAATTATATTTTTATACAGATTGTACAAATAAAAAAACAAATATGACAAAAAAAAAAAAGTTTATAATTAATTAATTCAGTCAAACGACAGTTTTAAATAAATGTATTTAAATCTAAAACTACCGTGTTTTGCGAAAAATCTTTCGACAACAATTATAACTTTCCCTCTATGGGAAGTGTGAGAAATTTTACTGTTTCATGTTTTTTTTTCTTTTAACTGTTATAATAACTATTCAATTTGTTCTTTGTTAGATACAGGGAGAACAAATTATCGAATACTATTACTAATGAAGAAGAAATTGTACGTCTAAGTTTAGAAAATGTTACAGTTGGTTCCAATTCTCACTTATCCATTCGGAAAAGTTCTAAATCATCTGAACGAAATGTTAGTAATTCTGACTCGAATAGTGCGTCTGGTTGTTCCTGTTCTGTCAAGTCAAGTAAATCAAGATGTGACTGCATCATTAATTACATAAAGAAATCGAAAAAATCACGTTCCAACGAACTCGATGTAATGAAATATCCACAAAAACAATATGAGAAGATATGTGAACAAGAAAATTATATAATTGATGAATGTGTTAAACAACAATACTGCGAGATAAATATTATTCCGTCAGCAAATAATAAGTCACAAGGTAGAATACCAATTTAATACTAAACTTTAAAAAAAGATTAATAAATAAAATAAAAACACTTTAATAAAATTTTAGACGAAAAACTAGCCAATCACTACGAAAATGTCACGAAAAGTTTTGATCATAAAATAAATCTTGAGGCAGTAGAAAATAAGGGGCTAGTTTTGGCACAACAAAACCCTATAGAACAACAACTAAAAAAGCATACGACGAAAAAGATAAAAAAATCCAAGAAAAAAATTGTGGCCAAAAAGGAACCAGCAAAGCCGGAATTTAAGTACAACTTACCATGTGATAGTTGCAATGATGAAAATTGTTATTACAATAGGACTGCACCTCGATGTCCAGAAGAGTGGGAAATATTATTCAAACAACTCATGAAACGCCACAAGTATATTTTAAGAAGAAGATAAGTCGGTTGTATCTTTTTTTCTCCCAAAAACAGTATATTATTTTTAAAAGTAACACTAAATAATGTTCAGTCACACAAGGTTGAAGTGGGGTATTTTTAAATTGTTAGGGACTATTAAAATACACAATTTGCTTTATTTTTTCTTAGTAAATGAACTAACATTTACATCAAAAGCGTGATTGAAGTTAATTGATTCCTTAAAATGAAATTTAAACGATTTAATAATGTCTGCAAATCTACAAAAACAAAAACACGAGGTTGCATAATAGTTCATAAAATACTAGGATAATAGTTGGAGAATTTTACTTGTTATCATTCAGTAAATTTTGGTTATACAGCTATTGTAAAAAGAACTAATTTATCCAAATTTGTTGTTGAAAGTAGGTGCTCGTATTTAAGGAAAATGCAAGTATTGTTTATGTGCAAAACAAAAGGCTTAAAAATTTGAAAATTATAAAAAAAAAAGTTTATTTCAATAGTCCTTATATATTTAAAAATACCTCACTTTAATCCAATGTAACTTATTTAGTGTTACCTTTAAAAGGAATCAAACTGTATAGTGTATTTTATTATATGATTTTAATATCATATATTTTTATGCACCAAGGACTTTATAATATGATACTTATTTTCGAAAAATTTTTTAAAAATTTTTCCACACGTGCTAAGGAGAATTTACTCCCTTTATGAGTTCATAATTGAATTAGATTAATATTTTTTAGCAACTA